AAATCAAGTAATCGACAATGAAAACTCAATGACTGAGCACACAAATGTCTCAGAACCAGCTGACATGCCTTATTATTCCAAACATGGTGTGCTGGTAGCCATAAATACGGAGAAGAACCAAACGTTAGGAGTGCAGTAACTGACATAGTAGGTTTTATTGATCTGAAAGCACCTCGACATTACAGGAAATATTCACTACAGGAATGAAACATAAAAAACGTGGTACCTCAGTTCTTCCAAAATGGTATCATAGCGAACCTGAAGGAAATTTCTGAAAACGTTGCTCAAGTCCTAGAAGAGAATTTAAATGTATTTCAGGAAACAGATTTTTAATAAATTACTTAAATGAAAGTATTATTTAAATTCATAGACCCTCTCTGACTGAATAAACATATACCCTGTGCCCATCCTATTCTCCACCAGAGCAATTTTAGTTATTTAGTAAGTCCACTTCTTTTTCTAAATGAGTATTTTTACACTTGATCCCAAATTAGTATAAATTCAGCAAGGAGAAGTGAGTTAATGGGCTTGGACATATGAGGAATTTGGAGGTGTTAGCGATCACCTTCTGATCAGCAGCGTTTGTTACCAGAATGTTTCCAGAAATCGGAGGAGGAGGCTGAGGCAGCTCTGTACATTTCTCTGCCGTTCAGTTTTCTCTGAGTACAGCAGGAATGAGGTATTTTAAAATGTTCAGATGGGGGGCTGTGGCAGAGTGTGTTGGCAGAAGAGGAATAAATTAAGGTAAACTCCATGCTGAAAAGCAGAAAGAAGAAGCACAACTTTCAGCTGTTGATCTATGTCATGTCTTGCTCTTTCTCCCACAGTTAAAAAGTTAAAATACGGTATGGTACCTCCTCATTTAACAGCAGAAGCTTCACCTCTGTCTGACAAGAAACAGTTGTTTGTCGACAACATCTCCTCAAAAGACAGCTTTCCTTGAACAACAGGGATCGTGTTACTGTTGAGTCCTTGAGATTTTGCTGTTCTGTTTTTTTTAAATTCGCATTTAAAGAAAAAATTGTCTCACCCCAAACACGTCTCCTTCTCTGAATTCCCTCACTGTCTGAAAGGAGGAGATTCCCCGACTTGAGACCTGACAGACTCTCTCCTGCAGGCTGCCGGAAAGCACAAAGTAGAAGGCCTGTGGGCGCTGGCCTTGTTTGAACACAGTCCTGTTTGCTTCGTATCTAGAAAGAGAGACATTTAAAGCTTAAAGTCATCTAAAAACCTGACTTTTCCATTTAAAAAGAGGAAGGAGGATACACAGGAACTGCCTCATTCAAGGGTACGAGGTGTAAGATGACCAGGGGACGGGTCATTTATAATCGGTATTTCCAGAACGAAACACTTCATATTCTTGATATAGACCTGAGCAAGATGGCTGCCAAGGAGAACCAGCTGACCCGCTGTTGGAAAAGGCCTACTGTATGCAGCAAAACAATGAGACACAGGTGAGCTACATCGGGAAACAAAATATAAATGACCCTTCCCCTGGTCATCTTACAGAGGGTACAAGGGTTGTGTCTGCAGCAGGGCCTCGAACCCAGAGCCTGTCAGTTACAGTATGAGCCCAAAGGCTCACCCAGTATGCGATCCCATGTGCAGTTATCAGAAGTAAAAACCAGCTGTGTGCCAGGGGGTGGGGCTGCTGCAGAGCCAAATATCAAAGCAGCAGATAATTCGACAGCTCTACACAAATGTCAGGACTATAAGCAACACATTTCAAGAAACAGAAGCTGCTGCATCAGCAGGCGATAATGATATAATTGGAGTGATGGAAACAGAGGTAGCAGGGAGCGATGGAGACCAGTACAGCACTAGTGGAGACACCGTGTTCAGAGAGACAGGAAAGGAGCAGCAGTGTGTTTGAAACAGGGCTTTCAGGTCCAGGAGCCCAATCTAGAGGAATCAGGAGTCAGACCTCCAGAGAACTCAAAAGCCAGCGTTAGGAGTTGTGCTACAGCTTCCCAAGCTTCAGTGTCAGTTATAAAGCCGTCTTAAATAGCGACATCGAGGATGAGTGTGTAAAGGAAGAGTCGACAGTGTGGGAGATATTAATTCTCTTCATCTAGAATGGACGTCCGCAGCCCAAACTCCAGCTCCAAGTAGAAAGTGTCAGGCACCATGTTGTTTGCACTACTGGTTACTGTGTTACAAACATCAGTGCAGAAATGAGCAAACAGATACATCCCTGGGCTTACAGGGGTGCCCAGCACTGACAGGCCATATCAGCTGAACCTTCTTAGTCTTCAACAGAGAAGACTAGGAGGGCAGCTGATTCTCAACCTCCCAATCCTCCAAGGCTTTGATGAAGGAGTTTGGAAGCCACAGCGAACCGGGGGACAGGAGATACCAGTGGAAACATCAGGAAAGCACTTTTAAAACGGAGAGCAGGAGGCGCTTCTGTGCGCAGAAGGCTGTGGGAGTGGAACAAGCCACCAGCCATGATGTAAGTGCTCATGCCCAGCTTCTTCCACAGAGCGAGTGGATGAAAGATTGAAAACTCAACACAACCGAAGGGCCAGAAAGGCTCTTCTCTCTTCCATCCCTCGCCATGCAACTCTGTAATATCCCACACAGAGCGTTCGTTGGCTTCACATCGTTCTGCTGATTTAATTTGTGGTTCTCAGCCCTCCCATAATTATAGCAAAGGGACAACCACAAGTGTTCTGACTTATAAATCTATTTGGATCACTTATTTCATTCAGTGAAGCCATAGCTGTGATGAATGGAACCCACAAACATGTTGTAATGGATCATGTTTAAGTTCCGTAGTTCAATTAATGTGATGTAATACATCAAAGTCTTCAGAAAGTATAAACCTGGAGTGCTATATTCAGATAACACCAACACTACTGAGACTTACACATCTTTTATATTTTACAGACAATGTGACAAAACAATAAACACGGCAAACAAAATGTTAGGATAAATAGTTAAAAGGGATGTGATTTTTAGATTGTACATTGCTCATTGAGTACAGTTTGTACAGTTTAGGTCACCACATTCCGAAAAAAGGATTTGACTGCTCTGGAATCATTCCAGTCTTATTGGACCACCCCACACAGATCAAAGGAACTGAACATTTTTATTCTTGAAAAGAGATGAGTACAAAGGGACATGTTGGAAGTCAACCCAGGTCTCTCGGTCTGAACACACTCACCAGCACCTTTTGTTTTTCAAGAAAATCAGCAAAGCCTACAGACTGTAGGTCCTTTCACTGAGGGAAAACGCACTGTCTAGCATGCAGCTGAACGTCCATACAGACAGTCTGAGTTGCTCGTTGACCTACAGTAAGTAACTGTAATGTGTGTTTGAAGTGTTTCCAAGCACTTGTCAAGGGTAACTGCTTCTCTTCTCACACTAATCAATGGACATGAGTGGTGCATGAATAACACACGGAACACGTCTTTAGAGATACATTCAATGAACAGTGATTTATACATTTACATTTTACAGAATACAATTGTTTATAAACACTACTTTTGTTTTTAATGGCCTTATTATTTCTACCTAAAAATCGAATATGTAAGTTGGACTTACTGTTGGTATATGGCAGCTTTGCAAATATCATGCTGGACACAGTCTGGAAATCTTTCAAATGCTTTGATTTTGCACAGAAGAGCTTTTATCTGGAAAGAAAAAAAATGTTTTAATTCTATTTAAAAATAACATATATTTATTCTTACCTCTTATAACTAAGCATCCCTTAAACTTGGAGAGACCACCTAGTGTGGACTATGTACATTCTGTATAGTTAATATAATGTATCTAAAAATGTGATCATTAGAAACTAAAACAGGTCTCAAATGAGATCCATCCAGATGTTTCTTGAAAGAAACCAGCGTTTGACAACATGGCTGTGTCTTTCTTTCCAGACTCTCACAGCCCAGCGAGGAAAGAGGAAAAGAAGTCGAACTGCATTTGAAACTGCAACAGAAACTGCCCGGCCACATTGTTGAAGCCGATACCCTGGCTTCCCTCAAGAAGCAGCTGGGTGAGACCCTGGGATCGATTAACCACGAACTACCTAACCAGCCAAATGAGCTGAATGGCCATTTCTCACTTTTAAGCTTTCTTAGGTGCTTGTATAGATTTAATAGATAAACCGATCGGTTAGAAACACCAATAACTTCTATTCAGAAGAATCGGCACACAACAAAATTAATATAATTAAAGGGTGGAGCAGGTAGTCACTGTAGAGCAGGGACTCTCAAAGTCAGTCAAGTTGGTTTTTATTCCTCCGCAACTCTTACAAGTTTGATTGAACTAGTTACGAGCATGAGTGGAGAAGGTAAAGCAGAGCTTCCCAGGTATTCGAGAGGTAAAGTGATTTAAAGAGATTTCTAAAGCTCAGAGGAATCTGACCCTCCAGGACAGAGGTGGGAACTCCCTGCTTTCAACTAAGTCATTCATAAAGAGACAATTTACAGTGACAACACACTCCATATAGTAGCCCCATTCATGTGTCTGAACACAAGGGAAGCTTTCAAAGCTGCGGAGGTTTTGGGCTTCTAATATTAGGTTACTAATAGGCTCAGTGTAGACGCCTTCAGCAAATTTCAAATGCTGCAGTGTCACCAGTCTCCTGGGCAGCACGTCCCTTCGTTTGCAATGATTTACGATACACAGGCAGCCCTGTGCTCTAACAAGAAGAGTGATCATTAAGGCACGCTCTTGTGCTGTTGTCTTGGGTTTATGAGTCCTGTGGGGGTTTCTTAAGGCTTGCAATGCTGTCATAATGTTGGAAGCGAAGAGCAGTCTCTGCCCAGGATGACTGAATTCAAAACAGTAAAAAAAAGACAGCAACAATATTATTGAACATTAGTCATGTGCAGATATAGCAAAATGGAAACAACAAAATTAGTCATTTTCAACCATAACTTCTAAACGTGCTTTGCCAGTAGAGCGTTTCATTTGCTCATTTAAACACAAGTGTCAGTTCTCTGACAGTGTGAATGTGCCACACTTTCTTCAAATGTTTACTGACTTGACTAAGTACATATCCCACTCATTATATGAGTAAATATTAAGCTGTTTACGGAGGGTTTAAATGAACAAATGAGGTTTTGTGCTTCAGTTAAACACAAACATACGAAATACCGAACAAACTTCACCTGCAGTGAGACTGGAGACTGCAGTGCTCCTGCACAAAACATCGTCCTTGTTTTGCTCAGCACTAAGAACCTGTGCTAGTCTGTAGAGTTTATTTTTACCTCTTGCACATCGTGAGGCTGTCTTTGTGAAGGGAAGATGGAGAGCAGGTTGTCTAAAGGGTCTCTGTGTTTCCCCTGCAGGAGAAAGGAATGCAGCTTAAAGAAAACGACAGCCCAATCATGAACACGCTTGCCAAGGAGAAATCTGTCAATGTTTCATTCCTGTCTCACATCATGTTCTGCAAAAAATGATGTGGACTTTTTAAGTCATTTCTTTCAGATAACTCAAGAGTGACACAGATGACTCTTTACAATGTCAGCATTGCACTACTGCTGTGCTTAGCACCTTCACGGACAGTAAAAATTTGTAAGAATTGTGGGCCGCAGGAAGAGAACCCTGCCTTGAGTCCACTCCTTCATGTTATTTCTTGTTAGATTAACAGTTGGAACATTGATGTCCCACACTTGAGCGAGGCAGCACTGAGAGCAATCGAACAGACAGACACCCAGTTCCAGAATGGAACCCAGGACCAGCAGGGTGGCCATTCTAACTGCTGCAGTACTGTGCTGGCTCTCTCTGTGATTGCGTTGAATAATTTACATGCAGTATTCCATCTCCGTGCTGCACGGGAGAGAGGAGTTTGTCGGTGCTGTCAGAACGAACACAGATACAGCTGAGAGACCAACTGGCTTGAGCCGCCCAGGACGTACAGGGCTCTTTCTGGTGAAATCTGCGATGTTGAACAGGAGCTCTCTCTCCGGGTCCACTCTCATCATCAGCTGCGTTTCAGCCCACTGCTGCACACTGCCAGCTCCACAGTCCCTGCAAACAAGCAGGACTAGAAGGCATCAGACGTCAGGGCAACACTTAATTATTTGTTTAAAGTCTATCCATCTTCAGCCTGTTATTCCTAGTGAGGGAGATGACTAAAATAAAGTTTAAAATAATCTTCCTGTCGTCAGAAGCTACTAGCAATCCCTTATTTACTCCTGTGATCCTACATGATCACCTGGCTCATACAAGAAGTGTTAACATAACAAAGGACCTAATTGATCTAATGAGCCAAAGTAAAACATCCCCAGGTTGAGTTAATGTGCAACTCCTGCTGTAAAGGTGATGAGTCAGTGATTGAGACAGTTACTAGAACTACAGCACAAACACTATTTCACCAGTCTTTTTGCAGGTTACCATAAATTTATAAATTGAGCCTGAAATGTACTGTAATCTATTGCTTTCTTTTAATTTCTCAATTAAAGAGTGCATGGTCCTATTGTATTTTCTGTTAACTGTACTTCTTTAGGTGTATCATTAAATTATACAGTATGTAAAGTGCCTATAGAGTGCTCTTGAAAGGTGCTATATAAAAATACAATGGATTGATTTGGTGGACAGTGCAATAATAAAAACAAAATGATGCTGTTTATGGTACCTGACACAAGTCAGAATCACAAGAAAGTCACGGCCACTTCGAGCCTGAATAGTAGAAGCACTTTCAAGTACCTTGAAAGTATCATTTTAATCGTTTTCCATTTGAGACGGAAAGACAAGAGGAAAGTTTGAAAGAATTCATACTGCATGTATTATTAATGGGAGTCATGCAGTTCAATCTTTACATTTTCCATTTCAAACCCTAAGAAGACCATTAGGAACTATCTTTATATTTTGAAAGCAATGGCTCTTGCTGTTTGCTGAGGGGGAAACTGCACTGCATGGAGGTTTTTTTCTGCAATGAAAGCAGTTTCCTTTTCCACTCTCAGATATACTTGGGGCTCCAAGTCGGCAAGGAAGATGAACCCTAATTCCAGGCTCTCCATGACAACGCAGGCCTGGGGGCTGTTATTTCTTCATGCTCGTCATGGGAGCACCCCATCGCCACCAGCAAGCATACCTGTCCTTTATTGTAGGAGGGTCTCATTCCCTCAACCATATTGCCAATCATCCCTCAGACCAAGCAGGCTACACCCAGAGTTACCACTAAATGCCTCTTCTTGAGTGCAGTGCTGTTGTTGGTATTCATCCATACTGTATCTTCCAAACTGCAACAGCAGCTGCTTCAGGATGTGTGGTATACAAGGAACCCTTGTACAGGTGTTGACTTTCCCTTTCTTTGAAGGAATCATGATTAAAGGCAAGAGAAATAATGATAAATAAATCACTGAGTCTTTGAGATTAAATGCGTTGCATTATTGAAATCATTGATTTGCAAATTAATGCTATGAAAGATGTTCTCTTTTCTCTTGCCAAGAAGAATGAACGATTAAGCGCTTCTGCAGCACTGCTTTGAATTTTTCTTATGTCCTGGTGTTAGAAATAAAATATTATTTAATCTTAAGAAAAACTAGTTAAAACAAAGACATATTTCCCTCACCTTTTAACTCATTTAATATAGAAATACAAAAGGCTACACTCTTCAGTTAAATATACCCACCTTTTCAATGCCTGGTTTATCGCACAAACAGTTTTCACTTTCCCAGCAATTTGATGGAATTTTCCATAATCCTGTTAGAAGAAGGGAAAAAAAACAACAAGGGGGAAAGCAATTAAAATATTCTGGCTGGTGTTAATTTTTTCAAGGGAAAATTAAGTTATTGTACCTTAGTTTTGAGGCCAGTGGGGTCCATCTATGTTCTGGACTCGCCGGTCTTACAGAAGTGAACTGCGAGCTCGTTCAGTCTTTCAAGGAAAAGACTTGATCAGCCTCTACTTCCCCGTTGCTTCAACAGAAGAAAGAAAGAATGCCCTTTCACAGCCCAGTAACTCTACCCTGTATCACTCATGTCTTAACGCACACCACCTGCGCAGCTTTTGTTGTGTTCTTAAGCAAACAGCAACCTTCCTGCTGTGGGTCCAGTGACACAAGAAGGAACTCCTTTCCCATAAACACATTGCATATGATATTACCTTTGCCAAAAAAAACTAATTGCTCTGGAAGCCTCATTTTTCACCGTGATTTACTGATTTCAAAGCAGCCCCTTTGTGTATCACACCTTTCCGGGTCAATACAAACATCACCACAGCAAAAAGGAACTGTTCCAGCGTCGGTGTAATGATTTTCTTTCAGGCGCGTACAGTCAGTGGAAGTGAAGTCCCAAGTCTGTCATCAGGACACCGAGTGCGAGACGTGATGGGCAGAAGATCAGGCAGGCACTGGACAAGCTCTAACATGTAGCTGCTGAGTTATTGCACAATGACATGAAGGCATAAGCTGTGAACCGGGGGAGGACTGCCAGCGTGCTGGAGAGATACTTGATTGAGCAAACAGACTCACCGCTCTGCTACTGTATGTGTTTCCAAACCAAGGAGCAAGACTTCTCAAGACCAGGACCACCACGATTTCCTTGGTAGGCCCGAAAACCAATTTGTCTTTTTGCAAGGCTCGGTGATTTTGTGTGAGATCTCCACAGTAAAAGGTTCTTATGCCACATGTGACTGAAAGCCAAAGGGAGCTGCAATTAATTGACGAACTGGTGTAATCAGGTTCGGAGGCGAGCAGTGTGGGGTATGATGTGTAAATCAATGTTGTCGAACTCTAAGCACAACCTGCGTTGTTTCATTGTGTGGAGTTCTAACAATCAACAACCACAAACTCCGACAATTCTGGCTCGGGATTTTGCAGCTTTGTAAGCATCATATGTCAAAAATATTTCCCATGCATAGAAAACCTGCTTTTTGATTATGCATGTTGTAGTCTACTTCGGACAAGTAATAATGTTTTACTTGGCTGATGCTTTCACCCAGAGCAACTTACATTTGTGCGGCTGTGCAATTTTAACCAGCAGTGCCCTGGCTGGGATCTGAACCTACAACGTAGCCTTACATCTCCATGGAACTGCTCTGTTTAGTCCTGCTGACGGTGTGAGGCAGCGCAATTTATATGAATGATTTATGCAATATTTCTTTTGCCCACATGGCCTTTCATATGGACCATGGTTTGAACATTTCCAGCCACTATCGATAAGCTGAAGCCTGTCCCAGAACCACAGGATGAGACTCCAGTCCACTACAGAGAAAGAGACAATTACGTGGAAACCCACAGAAGCAACCAAGATCAAGCCATCTCCACACAGACATCTGGAGTGTTCCTTTTGTGGAAACAAGCCTTCTGCACCACAGTGCCACCAGGTGTTGGACACAGGTAGTACAGGCATGACCTCTGGTGATCATAAGAGCTTCAGTAATGCAATAGGATACCATAATACAATACATAGTGTTGGCACAAGGTGCATTTTGGATAACTGTGCATCTGCTGGTTTCATATTGCCTCCACTGGAGCTCCTTTACTTTAGTCAGTAAGCTACTGCTACTGTACTCATGCAATGATATATAGAAGATTTCAACTTTCTGATTGATCTGCAGTTACAAATGCAGATCTTAAAGTACAAGAATGTGAATACAATAAAAAATACTTGGCAATATTACCTCTTATCTTTGGGACTGTAAGCTATCAGAAAAGCTGTTTAAATTCCCTTAGATGTCAGATATTGCAGAACTGCAAGAGTTAACATGTAAAATGAAAACAAGGTTTTTTACCAGTGACATGAACTGTATTTCTGTGTGTTTAACAGTTATCCCTGCACATCAAGTTCTCTTTGTTCTTTTGATTTTAAATTAACCTCTGGGCATGACTGACAGTGAGTCAATGCTCCCAGCCTCATCAAACCCCAGGGAGAAACTTCAGAGCTTTGGGATTCATGGACACTGAGAGTCCGGACAGTGATGTTGACTTAGCTCCCTGCTCCTCGGTGGCGCTGCGCTCTCAGGTGAAGAGTGCTGGCCTGCTCATCGTGGTCATCATGATCCAGAGTCCTGGAACGTTTGATGATCCCTGTAATTCTGTTTCCCAGGCAGCGGGCCTGCCAGCTACAAGAGGACCCCAGTGGAATTGTTCACACTCCTGCAAGAGCTGGGGGATGACAGTCATAGCCGTGCTGAGGAACTGATCTCTTCCTTCCTTTAACATGCCATCCAGGGCAGGGTCTACTTGCTGGGAAATGTATTATTGATGCCATTCTCTGTCTGTGTCACGAATAGGCAACAACGTGCAGTGTTTGGATATCCCTTGTGAATATCTCTCATGACGTGACAGTGATCCCTTATGATCCCTTATGACAGTTAAGCCCGAAGCACCTCAGAAAACCAAGAGACTCAGTCTCCTCACAAGGCCACTCCTTACAGAGGCTTAGAGTGAGCTTCACTGGAATCACTTTGCAATCCCTGTATTTTATAACTTTAAGTGTTCGCTTCTGCACAAGCAAAACAGAAATAGAACAGCTCCAGGCAATTTTTAGGAAACTGAAGAGCTGGGAACTGAAAATTAAAATCTCCAGCACTAAAAAGGCTTGAGTTGAAAATTTCGATTCCACGATGGTAACTTTTAAAAGGCTTGTATAATTTTGCTGCAAGAAAACCTTTTATGATAATCGACTTTTTTTCGAGCTCTGAAAGTTCAGAGCTATTAATGACGTGCCTTCAGGAATTACGGCACTAAATCCTTAATGGAAGACTCCATCAATCAATACGCTGCCAGGCTTTCAGTGATTATAATGGAATCTAATTGAAGCTTTAATAATATCTGTTCTGGAAAAAAGAATCCTGCTAAACTACTCAGATGTAGCTGCTGTATATTCCTCTGGGGACACTTTTAAGAAAAGGACTCATTAATCACACTAAGTCAGAAGTGTGTCCTTTACTTCACAAGCACTCCGGCTACATTCAGACTGTATAAATGACTGTGCAACTGATATTTTGAAAAGAGAAGTAAAACAACTTGTGGAGTAAATTAAACTCTGTGCTCAACACGGTTTGGCCCCTCGCAGAGCTCTGGAAATGTCGTCCTTGTTGAAAGAGGAAATGCAGAAACGGCTCTTTAGACCCGAAGGACAGAGGCTGGACGAGTTCATTGAAATTGTGTACTCGGCACAAGGGAGACACTTTCTCTGCGTGTCGGGTAAGTAAGCCATGAACACTAAGAAAAAAACGAATTTGACTGAGATGTTTACGCTATTTGCGCGATATGGCGTAGAAATAACATTGTCTCGTGTGCTGTGGGTGAAAGAAATGAGGAAAAAGAACATTATGTTTGTTACCAGGATAACAAAATAATTAAATGAATGGCCTGGTGCTTTAGTCGATTGTTATTTGTTAAATGGGAAACTAAATGTCCTGTAAGTGAAATGAAATAGATGAAGTAGATAAAATGCACACTCAATAAAATTTAAGTTAAATATATCTTCACGATGATGATCAATGAAGTTATATTGAATTAAAATAGATTATTAGTATATTGTAATCTCATGCAGTCAAAAAATATTTGCACATCACAGAACAATTACCTTGCTTAAAATTGAATCATTTTTAAATTATTTAATTATTTAAAATATTTTTAATTATTTTAATTGTGTGTAAGCTGCCTGAAATACTACTATGGTCCCTACTGGTCTAACCATTTTAATGCCGCGATAATCACACCTTGTAATTGCGATGGCTCAGATGTAATCTGACAAGAGATGTGTGTTCAGAAACACAGATGTAAAATTGTTTAAAAAGGTTTCACTCACAAAAAAGAAGACAGTACATTCTCAAACACATGTTGTCCTTCCTAACGGTAATTTAATAAATGTGTTGGTTTCAGTGACTAAAGGAAAGGACGTCCTGATATCGCTGGTGAAATACGTCAGGTCGGGCTTGGACGACACCTATGAGAAGATTCAGTCCTGGTTCCTCAAGGATCTGGTCTTACTTGACGGGAGAGAAGCCGACACTGTAAGCCTGTACACTGCTTGGGTTATTCCATATGAAAGTAATAGAAAATATTCATTTTGTCCTACAGGTTATTATTATTATTATTATTATTATTATTATTATTATTATTATTATTATTATAAAACAATGGAGTTTGTGCTTGAGTCTATTTCGTTTGATCATAAAGAATCTCAACAGCGATTCGACGATTCGGAGCTCAGATGTGAGGATGTACAGTTCGGGCTACTTCCCTGAAATATTTGACGGCGTATTTCGAGAACTACACTGCAATGAGTAATTTACAGGCGACTATTTCTGTGCGCAGGCATTCTTTGTCTAAAGCGTTACAGTTCGCCTTTTTCCATGAGTATGTAATGTCGATTTTCACAGTGCTTTTACTGCCTACAGGAAGAAAAACAAGGAAACGTTTACAGCCTGGGGTACCCAGTCCAGGTGCTGGGGACCCACTCGTCGGCTCGTTCCTATCACTGCTGATATCTCGACTTCAAAATCCTCACACACACGTTGCTTGGTTGGAACCTTCTCAGGATTTTTTTTCTATTCAAAGATTGGAGATCTTAACATGACTAATGAAACACGATAGTTGGAATGCAGCTTCCAGCTGGTGTAGGAACAGAACACAAATAAAGAGCTTAAATTACACCGATTATCGGGTCTATCAAGGGGTCCAAGTATTTGGTTGAGGGCTCAGGTGGAACAACACCCAGCTGAGCCCAGGACCAGAATGGGGAACCCCTGCAGTATGTGCTCTTTTCCAAAACTGCAAAACCTGAACACCATTAAAGTGCGTTTAGTTCCTGCAAGGCCTATACAGTGCTTATTACACGTCTGCTTGGCTGTTTGGTCCAAGGATTTGCATCCAGCATACAGTATATATCATCACCAATCACAACTCCTGCAATACTTCCAAAGACTGTACTTCCCTGCACTTTAGTGTGGAGATGGGCACATCACAGTAAATTTGAAGAAAAAAAGTCTCTGGTGTAAATTGTTAGCTACTCGCGAGCAGGAGGTTTCAGGAGGGCATTAACTGACAGGCTGGTAACCCTAAAGGAGTAAACCGCGCACAAGAGCTGCTGCTGATGGCCTTTGATGTGGAAGGAAACGGAGTGGAATTTCCCTCAACATTCCTTCTGTACAAGATAACACTCTGGAGAAGACAGATATTTCAGTCGTTACAGCACAGAGTACTCCAAGCTGAGTCCATGCTTTATGTTATGAGAACTTTTCTTTTTTCAGAAAAGTTCAATTACAGTCATATTTTCTACCCCCAGAGCATTGGCAAACCTGGCTGCCTAAAAACAGATCGATGTCACAGCACTGTAATAAGGGAAGTGAATACGATTAAAGCTGGAAAAGGATCGTACATCCATTTTTTTTCTTACAAAGAAAAGGCAAAAGGTAGCTTTTGAAATATTGTGTATATGCAAACAAATAATTCATATTTACCTTGATTAACTAATTAGCTTGATTCAGTAACAATATCGGGTCTGTGTTGATGAAAAATTACAGAGGAAGTGCACTGGTCACCAGTCCCTTAGGTGCTGCATAACAAGCATGCATTTCCAACTCCGCAAGAATGAGCAATATTATTCTGTGGTACGTGCAAAAAACAAGAGAAACTAAATCAAATCTTTCCCCTGGTTTATCTGGTTTCTTTTTTCTATTTGGTACAGTGGTTTTACTCCTAATGTCATCTTTCTACGAATGTCATGGGTGACAAAATAGAGATTTACAGAACGGCAAGGAAAAGGGACAATCGGGTTTATTGCTTTTCCGCATCAAGGCTCCTCAAATGCAAAAAAAAAGGTTTTTGCCTACCTAGGGATAAAGCACAAAGTGCAAGTCATGTCTTTGATAATTATGGGAACCAAAGCAATTATCCTTTTTGAAGCTAGCCACTAATGAAGAATTGATGGAGGAGACAGGGCTCTGTGGTTAGGCAGAGAGAGACAGTGCTCCCAGCCGATTCCTCTAGCACTCTGTGCTTCTCTTCCGTCGTTTGGAACTATTAGAATGAGACAAGTATGCCTTCCCATCTAATAGTGATCTAATGCACTCACTCCTCACAATGATCTGGTGAGCCGCCCTGGTTAAAGTAATATTCCAGGGTACTGCGCTGCTTCTTTACTGCTGAGGTTGGATTCTCACTAGAATTGATCAGAGTTCCAATTCACGAGCATTACATTAAGTTATTTTTTTTTCTTAACACTCTCTGTAACCCTGTAGCATGAATTTATTTGATGAAATTTGTTTGTTTTGTTAACTGTTGTTTTAATAATATGCTTTGTGATTTCTTTTCCACATGTGCAGTGCTTGCTGAGAAACCTGATTGAACTTTCATCATCAGTAATCTTCATTCTGACTAGAAACTGCTAGAAAAGTCTTGTTCTTTATCAATACATTTTATGTACTAATTCTGAGAACCTGTAAACATATTGGTTATATTATATACGTTTATATAACGGGGACAGTTCTTTTTTGTATCTTTCATATCAAGGCTCCTCAAATGCCAAAAAAATGTTTTGCCTACCTAGAGATAAAGCATAAAGTGCAGGTCATGGCTTTCTGTTTTACATTAGACAGATGTTATATACTATCAGGTGGTTTTCCTACCCGCCAAATTCTGGTAAAATGTGCCAATTCTAGGCACAGCACTAGGAAAGCCTTTTCAATCTAATTCGGTTTCCCAGAGACCAGAGACCAGTGCTTTGCTGCAGCCAGGGTAAACCAGGTTAAAACCACTGTGTAACAGGCCTGTCTATATAAGATAAGATCACTTTATTAGCCATATACAATTTCTTGCATTAGGAATTTGTCTTTTCACATACCCCAGCTTGCTCTCCACGAGACACAGACAGGGAGAGAAGCTTGGGGTCAGAGCGCAGGGTCAGCCATTGTACATCACCCCTGGAGCAGCTGGGGTTAAGGGCCTTGCTCAGCAGCCCAACAGGGTAGGATTCCTCTGCCAGCCACAGGATTCAAACCGGCAACCTTCCAGCCACAGGCGCAGATCCTGAGCCACAGAGCCACCGCTCCGCCCCCAGTACATCTGTGTGAAATCTCTAAGCATTCCTCCCTCCTCTCCCATTCCAGGATGACCCGTTCTTCGACATGCACTTTGACAAAGTGCACAAGTTGGAGGCCCTGAGCTGCGCGGCCAAGTACTCCTTCGCTCGCTGCCTGACGCGGCTCAGCGGGACGTACTGCCAGAGGGAGCTCAAGATAGCGAACTTCGACATCACCTACATCGAGCCCACATCCCTGTCGTCCAACAGAGGGGACTGCATGGTGATCATGCAAATCTGCTTCTATGCTTTCAACCTCGTGTGCCTGTCACTGTGTCCCGTTTCCTAGGCGGGCTTCCAGACGGCAGAGCTCCGGTACTCCTCAGTCAGAAATGTCGCCCCTTCTCCATGGGGCTCAGTGTGCGGGAGTGTCCAATACATCAGCCAAAGCCTGGAAGTGAAGGTGTTGAAGAGAGACAGGAGGGACGTGACGTGTTTAACAGTCATGTCGTTTCTTTTCAAGATTTTTGCTTCAGCTGAAATCTCACTTGCAGTACGGACTCTGACCCTCTGACCCCTCTCTGCAGTCTGCAGTGCAGTTAGCACTATCACTGCTGGTGGGAGCCTGAGAGAGGTGTCTGTCACTGTCTCTCATGACAGAGACTGATGGCCTCTGGCTGAAGTCAAACTGGGCTGTAGTTCACTCAGTGCACCACAGCAGCACCTTCAGTCGGGTCACAGGGTATAACACAGTGATGTGTCAATCTCACGATTTGTTAAGGTTTTATAAATGCGATGTACAAGATAACAGACTGTGTACTGAATCATTGCATATTCTCCTTCTTCAGAAGAAAGCTTTTGGTCATCTTGTTGTTCATTTAGCTTTTTCGGGTTGTAGTAGGATGAACAACGCAGGAAATTAAGATTCTGCTTTCTTTCTCCTTTCTCAAGCAATAGGTTAAAGTCATCATTAGAGAGGCCACTCTGGTGCCCACAACACATGTAAACAAAGTGAAATAGGAATGCATTTGCGTATATGCTTTGTATGAAAACCATGAAAGATTTGATTTGTGTGTCGTGTCCGCAGACGAACTGTGGGCAGGTGAAACTTATGCTTTCATGTGTACATGTCCAGCTGACCACAGTGAAACTCAGCTCACAAGTAAGAGCTTCTTGTTTGCTTGTGACCAGGTAACACATACAGTACACTCCCATGTGAAAAACGCATACATTCAACATATTTCTAAACTTTTAACACTATGTTTTAATACCCAATAACAAAAGAAAGTCTACAGTTCTGTCTCATATTAATAGCTTGATCGGAAATACAAATTTCTCTTCACTTTCCGGCACTTTTCACTGTTTTTTCCTTTTGACTAACACTTGTAGAGTTAGTAAAGTTATGCAATGAAGTTATTAAGTTAATTAATAAAAACACTTAGATTTTCAATTTTATTATTTATTTTCTTTCTGATGATTTGTAGTTATTTTATTTGTGTTCACCAAAATACAAATGCTTTTAAAAATATCTGAAAATATTTTAAATAATTTGAAAATGAACAGTTGTCTACGTAAGTTGTATATATACATTTCAAGTTTTTTAGAGCAAAAATAATAATAAATAAAAACATACCTATTTCCAATTATTAAATTGAGTAAAATAACTTTGTCATTCATGTGGATTTACTGTGTGCAGTGCTTGTGATGTACAGTACCTGTACTGAAATGCTTGGTCTGTTTGAAGTGTCTTATAAATAAAGTAATCCTCTCAGTTTGTGTAAATACAGTATAGAATTTAATCGAGAAACTGAAGGTAAAAGATATTACTTTAAACCAGAATAATTTGTCAAATTTGTATATATTATAAAGCATTTTTAATTCAATCCTTTTAAATGTGCTTTATAAAATATACTTGTTGTTATTGTTATTATTATAAATACATCCTTAGGTGTTTTGCAAATGTTTTCTAAAGCATTAAAAATAAAACATAACTAAAAAAATAATCATGTCCTACATATCGATTAAGACTGAAATTGACCCAATCTGAGGGGCCTATATCTATTACTGTTGTCTGTGTTGCTTTTATTATATTGTGACGTTCGGTTACAGAAAGCAGCTACTGTAGACTTCCTCTACCTCCCTGAGGGTAAAAGTAGGGATAATGACCATTATGTGCAGCTTCCGTGTCCCTGTTCTTATAACCAGGTTGGCTAGAGCCCTTGACTGAAATGAAAGTTCCCAGGAGGAGCATCGGGGTGGAATCTCATTGTGTTTGTGTGGAAAGAGCAAGAATGCAAAACCGAACCACAAAATGTGACACCAGACATCCTGGATCTATTCTCTGCAAATTGGACCAGCCAAATTCACTTTCTATTTAAAGTTCTGATGCTGCCAAAAATCCAAAAGCGGTGATATTCTGTTAACGCTGGAAACTTTTCTTTGACACAATGAGTCTTGCAGTTCCCTTGGGATCCTCCTGAAGTCCAGAAGTCCTCCCATGAGCCCTGCTGCAGGCAGGCAGGCTGGGTCTTCAGGGCGTGAAGCAGAAACATCCTGGAAGCAGCCTGGATCTGTCCCAGGGCTCCCGGATGGGATGTTAGGATCAATAAACTACTTGCAACCAAATGAACAAGTTGCACGAAACGGCCTCCTCTTCTTGGTAACCTTTCCTTTAACTGGAGCCCATGCTAATCTGGAGGAATGTTCTCTTGGTATCTGAGACTAAATGCACATTTTATTTAGAAGCACCTTTAACAGGCTTTAACAGAAGCCAAGCACCCAAAATCTGTAACAAAGAAAATATATTACTGGTACGTTCAATGAGGGGATCTCTTAATACGAATCAGGGTTGGATTTAAAATGTTTTAGAAAACGTCTTTTCTTTTCTACTACACAACACAATACCCACTTTATCGTTGTAATGAGTCGCAGTGAACCGAACTCGAACCCGAACAAGACAGACGCAGTGCCCAAAGTTGGAGCCCTGGATTGAATTTCTCGACTACACAGCGATATTTATATACTTTATATTTATATACTATATACTTCCTTCTTTAATGCATTATATTCATTTTTCTGAGCTTTTATTGACTTTCAAAGTGGATTTAACAATGCATTAGACGTGATGTCAAAGTTCCCCCCGGCCAGCCGAGCGCCCTGACTCTAATGACGTCCCTATCCTTCCTCTAGCCGCTGTTCCTGAGTGTGACGTCCTGCCTTTTATCCGGAAACAGGAAACTCAGCTGGGCTGGGGCAGCTTGCTAGCTAGCTCTGCGTTTGGAAACAGCTCATGACAGGAAAGCGGCTCGTATTGTTGTGTTTGTATGGATAAACAAAGCGACTAAGGGCAAGATATTGTCATTCCAGATACACATTGTTTTATTAAGGTAAATGTGCTTTCCTTGTTAACTAAACGTAATAGTTTGGGGGGCATTTTGATTGGAAAAGGGCGAGCCCGAATCCCTTGTTCGTTTACGTTTTGCCACTTAATCCGTATTTACTAAATGTGCTCTGTTTGGGGGTCTTCCATTTCAGCGGTATAAATATAAAAGAGGGATGTCTTGCATGGATAAGTCCTACAGTAGTCAGAGCCCCAGATGCATGGCGCCCTTTGTTGTTAAAATTAGGGAGTAGCGCGATTTGGTTGCGGGATTTAATTCCCTGTTGCGCATTACTGTTCGTGACGCCTGACTCAGAAGTAATTTAGATGCAGTAAATATATCGGTGCGGGTGTCTAGAGAAGGAAGTGGGTTCTGCTGCGCCGTGGGTTGCTGGGGAGTGATCCACGGCGCTGCAGAATTCGCACTCTTGGCTGACGTGTGGGCTGTTGAAATCCCGAGGGCTTCCCTCGGTGCAGTCTGCCAGGTGTCACGGGTGACAGCCTGCCCAGCCAGCTGTCCTTAACTCTCCCTCCATCCAGGCCTAGGCAGGCTTCTCAGTCCCAGGAATATAATAATAATAATAATAATAAAAATAAAATACAGCGTTCAGGGACCCCCTGGTTGACTTGCACGGTTTTATTGTAACAGCAGTGTAATTCAGTGTTCTTAATGCCTGGTGTTTTTAAGAACCTGCAAAAGTGCTGAATAAACAACACAAACAAACGTGCAGCAGTGGTTTGAACGGGTGCTCTGGCACGGAGCCCTGCCCCTCTCCCTGCCCTCGCGTGCCCGGCAGTAAGTACGGCGTGTGCCTGCAGCAGGAGGGATGACGGCCATCAAGCACGCCCTGCAGAGGGACATCTTCACGCCCAGCGACGAGCGGCTCCTCAGCATTGTCAACGTGTGCAAGGCCGGGAAGAAGAAGAAGAACTGCTTCCTGTGCGCCACAGGTGCGTCCGGCGGGCCGGGCTGCGTGCCTGGAAACGAGCGGGCGTGGGTGGGAGACCCGCGAGCGCTCTGCGGTCCAGCCCCCCAGTCTCCAGCACGAATCGTGCGCTGTAGGGTGGCGTAGTGGTCAGTATTACAGCCTCGCAGCGCTGGGGCCCTGGGTCCGATTCCAGACCCGGGGTGCTGTCTGCGTGCCCTTTGTGTGCTCTGGTGAGGCCCGGGGTGTGTCCTGTCTGGCCCCTGTTGCTCGCTGGGATAGGCTCCGGCTCCCTCCACGACCCTGCTCTGGAGAAAACGGTGGAAAACGGCTGGATGGCTGGATTATGGGGTCTCGCCATTTATTGAGATTTCATTTATCCGTGGGGGGGTTGGAGCGCTGCTGCTGATGTGGAAAGATCCGGTCATTATCACACCAGACTCCTGTTGGCTTCTGGAGTCCCGCGCCAGGAAACTGATTCCCGGGAAAGTGGTGTTCTGAAACGTGACCTCAGTGAAATCATGCGTTCCAAGAAGAGCCCCAGCGCCGCGTTGGCGGGAGATGACCGTCCCTCTGCCACGGGCGCCCGACTGGGAGTTGTTCGTCCGCTCGTGACGGGGTGGGTGTCTGCGGCGCCAGCGGGACCAGAGCAGCGCCGAGCTCCCCTGGTCCGCCGTTCTGGGGAGGGCTCGTGCTGTCACACCCCGGAGTCCCCTGCAGCCCCGTCGCCCGCGGCCCCTCGCAGTGAAGCAGGGCGCCCAGGGCCTGCCTGCCAAACGTTCTCCAAGCTGGATGTAAACTGCCAGGTTTCCGGAGCCGTTTGACGTGCTGCGCCGCCGAGAGTAGGCCCGTTTCTGAGCGCGTTCCTCTGTGTAGGCGTTCTGATGCTGTGTAGCGTCGAGTCTTCGTCTGCGCTGACGGTCCCTGTTTTTCCGAAAGCAGGTGGCTAAGGCTCAGTGGTGCTGCCGCTGCGCCCGGCGTGTGGGGACTGTTGCACAGCGGGTCGTGTGAGTGTGGCAAAGGGAAGCTGTTGACCCCCTGAAGAGTGAAGTTGTGTCACCTGCAAACTTGTGCGGTGCACAGAGTAACGCAGCTGAGTGTGAGAAAAGCCCCCTCACGCGTCGGGCGTGCGCTACCCAGCAGCCTGCCCTGTAAGACCGCCGTCCCCCCTCTCCCCTTCCAGTGACCACCGAGCGCCCCGTGCATGTGCAGGTGGTGAAGGTGAAGAAGTCGGACAAGGGCGACTTCAAGAGACAGACCGCCTGGGAGCTCAGCAACCTGGCCATCGTAGACGCGAAAGATGCCAACAAGGTCTGTAAGAAAACAGCGGGGCGTTTTGTGTTTTCTTTGGCCTCCTTGATCATGTCATGCGTTTGCTTTAATACAGAAAATTGTTTCAGTTGTGGTTTAATTGAAATGAGGAGCTTTGCAAAGCACGTACTGTAGCACTTGAGGCAAATAATCAAGACGGCCTCGTCGGTAACAGGTCACAGATTTCGAATGTCACTGTAGTCTTTCCTTTCATCCTGCTACATCTTCGCTTTTGTAACTGCAGTTCCTTAAAATTGCGATCTCTTTCTCCCAGCATGTCTACCCTTCCTTATGTGATTGGGTTTGTAAATGCACCAACCATTCAGTTCTTCATTTCTGAATGTTTCCCTTTGAACAGTATGATTTGTACATTTACTTGATCTCTTGAGTTAGACATGCATGTGAATGAAGTGATCATCTTGGATCGAACACATGCTGTTTTTTTTCTTGTTCAACCTGTGCTGTTTGTAATTTTTGCTCGACTGGTGCAAAGTCCAGTAGAATAATTCCATTCATTTTTCATGCTTTATGCAATTTACCGAAGATGAGCTTTTCTGAGATGAACAATCCAGTTTAATGCAGTTGCCCAGAACATGTAAAAGCATTTATGATGAGTCATGGTAAATGAACTCTTGACATGCCCCTTCCTGACTCCAGCGCTTGGCTTGACCTTGTTCCTCGTGCTGTGCTCCTGCGCTTGAGTATCTTGGGCTGAGGGCAGTGGGATTTGTCTGCTAGTCTGGAGCCCTCTTCTCTCGAACAGGAAAACCCCGAATTCGACCTGCACTTTGAGAAGGCGTACAAGTGGGTGGCCAGCAGCACGGCGGAGAAGAACTCGTTCATCTCCTGCATCTGGAAGTTAAACCAGAGGTACCTGAGGAAGAAAATCGATTTTGTTAACGTCAGCTCCCAGCTGCTGGAAGGTATGCAAATGTTCTGTCGTGTAAAAAACATTACTAACCTTCTCTGTTGTATTTTCTTACCGTCTGTCCTAATACAGCTTTAAAAACCTTGGATTGTGTTGTGTCATCCCGCTTCTTGTTATTAAAAAGTATTTTAGGTTTAGGAAGTAGTTGCAAACTGAGATAACTCGCTGTTGCCAATAAGTCAGTGGTATTACTTATAGAAAAGGTCCTTGTTTGAGAGTGAAAAATCTGAGGGCTTAAATGTTTTAATCTGCCTTGTTGTAAATTTATTGTTCAGTTTTGCCCCTAGAACAGAACATCATAACTAGATCTTTTTATTTGATTTGTGGAGCAAATTATCAAGTTGTAGTTTGTGTTTTTTTATGCAATGACAGATCACAGACACAGCTGAAAGGCCTTTGTGTGTGCAGTGAGACTGATTTTGGAGGTGAAACTCTTTGCAAACCTTGTTTTGTCTCTTCCAGTGAGTTGAAGTCACCTTTGTTTTCCACCTTAACAGTTTTAACTGGGAACCCCAGGCTTTTCTTAGTTTGTTGCAAGTCGTAATTGCAGAGACTCGATGTTCCTGTAGTCCTCTGGCGTGGGCTCAGACGTCTTGTCGACATCGCGAGAGCTGCCTTTTTATTTTTGGTCCCTTGGGTGTGTGCGCTTTGGGTGAATGTGACAAGGAAGTGGTTTGCGAGGCAGAAGATTAGCACATAGTTCACTTTGCTGCTCTCGGGCTTTAATAAACTTGTTCTTTACTCTTCCCTTTTCACCCCTCACTGGCCAGAGCTTCCTAAAGCTGAAGGTTGGTAACACTTACTGTACCTCTCTCCCATCTTTGTGTGTTGTTCACCTTCCACGGGCATCCGTCTGCATTGTCTTTGTTGCCTCTGTGAACTGTTCTCGTAACAGTTATTCGTCCTCCTGGAGGCCGTGGCGTCACTTGTGTCCGGTGGTGTTTTCGTCACGCGTTTCCCCCACAAGAACAGCGAAAGTGCCCTGTCGTGTCGGCAGGAGAGCCGCTGTCGGAGAAGCTTGCTTGTTTATAGTCATGTTGCCATTGTTTTGTTCTGGAGCGACCGTGTAATCGAGCCGGGAAGTCTTACTGTGCAGGCTGCAGCTGTGCTCATGGGCAGCTCGTCTCCCGGGAGGCCCTGCTGGATATTCCCTCTCGTGGGCCTGGGTGCAGCTGGGAATCGACCCTAAACTGGTTGAAGTGAACTTCCAAAAAAACTTTGACTGGGACCAAACCTTATCTTATATAGTGCCTCTAAAAACATCTTCTCAAAGCACTTTATAGGTTAAAGGAAAAAAAAACAGCTAAAAAGTGCTCAAAACTTCCTCTGACCTCTAAGCTGCTAGTTGAGTGCTGAAAATAAGCAAGGCTGCCTCGAGACGCTTCTCCCTTATGAAAGTTTTGTATTTTTGTTTTGCGATACCTTGCTTTTTCGTGCTGCACTGGTGAAGTTGGCATTCATAGTTGCGCCGGCCCTGAAGTCAAAGCACAGCTTCACTTTTCCTTCTTTCCGCAGTTCTGTTTGTTAAAAAACCACGCGTTGCGCCTTGAGTTTTTTTTTTAGTTCCTCTCCCACCCTGTAGTGCAAACCCGACGCGTCCGGGCAGGACAGCAGCAGGATCTGGGAACGAGTTCAGTGCATGATATCTGTAGCTGCTCAGCCGCCCGGCCCGGAGGAGATCGGTCTGAGCGCGATCTGTCCTCTGTGTTTTGTGAAGAGTCTGTCCCCAGCGGGGAGAACCAGAGTGTTGCCGGGGGCGATGAGGATGCTCTGGACGACTATCAAGAGCTGAGCACCCGGGAGGAGCAGGACATCGAAATAATGATGGAGGGCTGCGAGTACGCCATCTCCAACGCCGAGGCCTTCGCCGAGAAACTGTCCAGAGAGCTGCAGGTGCTCGACGGGGTGAGTGGTCCGCCCGTCTGCCCTTGGCATGCAGGTTCAGGAGCATCTGAGGGGACAGCTGTAACTGAAGCCAGCAGGTAAGGCTGATGCTGGCTCCCAGGCTCCACCAGAACAATTTGGTTTGTCAAGCCCAGATGGTGTCTGGGGATGAGATGAGTCCATAGTGCTGTTAAAATAACAAGGGTTTATTTGTTACACACATTAGAAATATGAGGGTTCTCCACCATCATCTGTCCTCCCACCCTCCCTCACAGAGGTGTTATGTGGCTGGAGGAGACTCTCTCATAGGCCCCTGTGTGCACAGCAATGCACTGCTGTGCGCACACTGGTCAGGCAGTCTGGCCTAGAGCGTCTTTAAGGGAAGTACCGCAGGCTGCCCTGCTGCCGCATCAAACAGAATATTCTGACAAAGCACCTGTGTTCACCAAGAATTTTGTCTCTGTCAGGGGAAGTGGAGGGTCTCTCTAAATCTGGGATTCCTCAGTCCAGTTCCAGAGGGCAGCCTTCGGCACTGCAGGTTTTATGGGTTTCTTCAGATAACCAGCACCAGCAGAGCTGGACAATCTGTAAACTTGCAGGGGCTGAAGGAGGGGAGTAGAAGCCAGTGAATGGCCTGAGTTACAAGTCTTGAATTAGTATTGCAACGCAGTCTTTAAGTTGTTCTGCAAACAAGGAATGGGATGTTGCTCTGCCCTTTCAGTCACCTCGGCAAGTGAGGTTGACGTGTTTTCCGCGGTTGGCAGGCGAACTCCTCCCCTCCTCTCCTCGCTCGAGGAGCACTTTCTCATGGCGTACGGCCCCCCCGTTTCAGTCTGTCCTGCCTTCTGCACCACAGGCGAACATTCAGTCCATCATGGCTTCGGAGAAGCAGGTCAACACCCTGATGCAGCTGCTGGACGAGGCCCTGAGGGAGGTGGACACCATCGAGGGCAAGCTCAGCAGCTACGAGGAGATGCTGCAGAGCGTAAAGGAGCAGATGGACCAGATCTCGCAGAGCAACCACCTCATACAGCTCAGCAACACCAACAACGTGCAGCTCCTGGAGGAGATCGAGTTCCTGGTGGTGAGCGAGTTTGTGACGGGGAAGCCAGTACAAACCAAAATGCCGGAGGTGGATCAAACCCCGCTGGGGTGCAGAAAGTTTCTTTTCTTAGCGAGTTTAGGAATCCTTCGCAGAGCTGTGCGCATTAATGTTACTAACATCTTTTATTTATAAAGCGCCTGTCATAGCCTGAAGACCATGTACGCAGTTTTAAGAATAATACAAAAAAGTATTAAATATAAAAAGTTAAAGAGAGAAAAAAATAAACAAGAGTATACAGGTTCACACGGATAGAATTGAGGGCAGACAGACACAGGACCTAGGAAAAAAAGTGAGTCTGAAATTTAGATTTGAGCAGAGTCAAAGAACCTGTCTCTTGAGGAGTCCATAGCCAAGGAGCAGTGGCAGAACAGCACAGTCACCGGCAGTCTGAGACTTGAGTCCCAAGTGCGGTGTCTCCACTGCTGGAGTCCGCAGGAGGAGTGTAAACATGGAGGAGACGCATGATGGAACCAGATTGTTTAGAGCCTTAGAGTTCGTTAACAAGATCTTGTACTGAATACGTGACTTTATAGGCGACCAATCTAGAGACCTAAGTGCTGGAGCGATGTGCGGCCAGATTGTGGTGCGAGCTAGTAGTCTAGCTGCAGAGTTTTCACACGAGACTCGAAAGACGGGAGAGGATCGGGTCTGACTCCGAGATTCAGGCCATGAGTGGTGCCAGAGCGGCAAAGCCGTCCACCATTCGTCACCATGAACTATAACAGTTTAGAGTTTAAACGGCACCTGTTTGGGGGGGAAAACGCGTGCAAAACTAGATCGAGCAGGAGTTTGTTATGGCAAAGAAGACCTGACCACTGCTTCAGCCAAATGTTGCTTTGTTTTCTGCTATGCTTTTTGCGTGAAGAAGGTGTTTGCGTAACAGGCCTTGATTCACGAAATCTGAATGGCAAAAAGGAGCCGGTTCCCCGGGTCTGGAACAGCCGTCGAGGCGTTTATCGATTTTCTTCTATTATTCTTGTGAAAAATGGGAGGAAGCAGTCGTCGGGCTGGTTTCAGTTTCTTCCTGAGACAAATCCAGGTGCGTCATACCCCTCACCCGCCCACTGAAGCCCTCGCTGTCTTGCAGAACTACATGGACCTGTCGAAGGGGCACATCAAGGCGCTGCAGGAGGGGGACCTGTCCGCCTCCAAGGGCATCGAGGCCTGCACCAACGCCGCAGAGGCACTCCTGCAGTGCCTGAGCGTCGCGCTCAGACCAGGTCAGGCCCGCCACAGATCCACCCTGAGGAACGCGTAGGACCTTTAAACCTTTAAACGCCTTTACGAGGGCCTGTCCTGTTTTGTTTTCTGTCTTCTGTTCATTAATAAAGGAAGATAGGGTTCACAGTGGAGGATGAACAAATAAATAATACAGCAGAATGTATTTAAGCATGGTATTCCGGTATCTGATATCCGGGGTGACAGAGGTTCTGCGTTCTGTCGCTGTCCATGAGGACGTGTCCGAACGAGAGGAGGCACGTGCTGGTTAGTAGCTAATGGAGCTGATGATCTTGTCCGCCCATTTATTTGCCCCTGTTGGCTTCAGCAGCTCGGCTGCCCGGCCTGCTCCACACCCCCACAAGCAGTGGGCCGCCGGCGTGAGGCAGGGGGAGCAGGGCGTCTTGCTCTCCGTTCCAAGGGCTTTCCCGTAGTTTCCTCTTCAGGCACGCGTCGGCCCGTCTGTGCCGGGGGAGCCCGCTGAGCTCTGTGCTCTCTTGTCGCTGGCAGGACACGACAGACTTCACGCCGTGAAGCAGCAGCAGCACCTGTTTAGTGAATTGAGGGATCAGTTTGCAAGGAGACTCACCAACCACCTCAACAACGTGTTCGTTCACCAGGTAATATTTGCTGTTCCTGGTAAAAATGTTCATCTTTCTGTTCCTCCTGTTGTTTTCAGCGGTGAGGCTCAAGGACTCTGGGGTAGTTTCTTTCAGAAGGAGTAGCGCCGAGCAGTGGAAAATATAAAGACAGAGTTGGCTGATTAGTGTGAGGCCTTGCTTTAAGGCTGAGGTAGAAGGGTTGAATGGAGGTTTACTTTGCTTGCAAAGCTCAGTAATAAACGTGTTTTTGTTTTAAATCATATAATTTGCAAAGAACCAGTGCAGAGTTGCACAGGACAGGGGCTGGTCTTCTTTGCTGATAACTCTGTAGTGTAAGGATTCCTCTAGCTGCTGTAAACCAGGCTGGCTGGAGAGAAAGGAGCAGGGGCGTCAGGAAGGTTTATTCCTCTGGGGGGTGCATGCAGTCCATACACTGACGTCGTCTTAGCTTTCACGCTGAGGCGTGGATTCCTGATTCACAGCCACCATTTCTTCTGCAGTTCATTGATTTAATCTGAATCACGATGCGTCTCCTATTGCTTCAGCCTGTGTTCACCCTGTCTCTTGTTTCCTTCCTTGCCTTCTCTTAATCAGTTCAATCACTTCAGTCACTTCAGCCTGACCATTCCTCACTTCTATAGGGCCTCCTTTTTGTCACTGCCCGTGAGTATGACCACGCACCCCCACTAACCCGTGTGCACCTGGAACCTGACCTCTGATTCTCAGCAGTCATGGCCAGGAGTGGGCATGTCTTTTTCTCAGTTACAGCCTGCTGTGTTATATTCAAGGTGCAGAAACTTCCTGAGGTTGTGAAGGACTTGTTTTTTACTGTGGGAATGTCAGGTGTAAACTACCGTCAGTGACGAGCATGTGCGTTCATGACGGTTGAGTTCATTTATTCAGAAGTGCATGCATTCATTCGCTTGAACAACCGCTGAACAGCTATGGTCAGAAGCACACGCTTGGAGGGGTGTCAAACTGAAGGGTGGCGATGCAGCAGGTGTCGTACCTGCTGTGCATTTCTGGGAAGTTGTGGCTCACACTGGTGGTTTTTTTTTCCTCTCACTGCTTGTCTGATTTTTTTCAAAGTTGTATGTTCTTTAACATGTTACTGTTACCGGGTGATTCCTTTAGTATCTTTGTATAGGAGCGCACACACAAATTAGCATTTCATTGCCCTTGTGCATCTGACATATAAACTGCACTGAAGTTCCCAGGAGTTTTGTATTGTGAAAACTTGATTCATTATTGATCAAGATTATTTGATCAAATTGAAGAATCGGCTCTCTGCTGATGTCTTCGTTGCCGTCACGATGTGTCGATCTGTTTAGCGTTCTCTTCTGAAGTGCCCTGGTGAAGTGGTGCTGGCTTGTAGTGGTGTCTGCTGGCCGTCATGGGGCCACAGGTCCAGGTGTGAGATGTGTGCCGGATTGTTGGGCAATAAATGGGCAGGATCTCTCCTGCGTTATCTGTTTATTAAGGAAGTCAGTACCCAGGTTCCCCAGGTGATGGTGTGCAGAAAGAGAGGAGGCACGTGCTGGTTAGTAGCTAATGGAGCTGATGATCTTGTCCGCCCATTCATTCCCCCCTGTTGGCTTCAGCAGCTCGGCAAAAGGGCAAAAGACTGTAGCGGCAGTGTTCAGGGTTCTCATTACTCGGGCAGGGTTCAGTTCAGGGTTTGAATTACTTGGGCCGGGTTCAGTTACTCAGGCAGGGTTCAGTTCAGGGTTCAGATGACTGGAACAGGATTCGGTTCAGGGATCGGATTACATAGGCAGGGTTGAGATTAGTCGGGCAGAGTTCAATTCAGGGTTCAAGAAATGTCGTTTTCTTCAGAACAAAAGCAGAAACAAACCAAAGCTGTTAGCACAGGGGTGCATGACTCCTCAGTGTGTGTAACTGCTGGTGTTTTCTGTAGGGAGGGGGGACTTTGAGATGCACTGGTCTTGCTGTTTTAAAATGTGTCCCCATGAGGGCATGATAAACAAAACCAGCTGAATGAAAGGGCTATAAAAGTGATTCATGTTAGAAAATGCTCATTCAAGTCTGTGATAACCTTCCAAATGTTTACCATTTGCTAAAAATTAAATTAACTGTTTCTATTATGACGATGTTTGTGAGCGTCATTTTCTTTTAATGTCATTAGCGTTGTATTGCCATTTATTTAAACTATTGTACTAATTTTTGCTTAGCATGAACTAACATAAGCAAGAACACTAGATTCTGGAAAGCTCTCCTGTTCTGTGATCTGGGTGTCCAGGAGCACTGCCTGAGCAAGAAGGCTAGATTCTGGAGAGCTGTTCTGTGCCCTGGGTGTCCAGGAGCACTGTCCGAGCAAGAACGTTAGATTCTGGAGAGCTCTCCTGTTCTGTGCCCTCGGTGTCCAGGAGCACTGTCTGAGCAAGAACGCTAGATTCTGGAGAGCTCTCCTGTTCTGTGTCCTAGTGTCCAGGAGCACTGTCTGAGCAAGAACGCTAGATTCTGGAGAGCTCTCCTGTTCTGTGCCCTCGGTGTCCAGGAGCACTGTCTGAGCAAGAACGCTAGATTCTGGAGAGCTCTCCTGTTCTGTGCCCTGGGTGTCCAGGAGCACTGTCTGAGCAAGAACGCTAGATTCTGAAGAGCTGTTCTGTGCCCTGGGTGTCCAGGAGCACTGCCTGAGTTGCCACCTTCCTTGGCAGGGTCATGACCAGAGCTCCACCTTGGCCCAGCACTCGGCGGAGCTCACCCTGCCCAAGCACAGCCCACTGCACCGCGACCTGCTGCGCTACGCTAAGCTAATGGAGTGGCTGAAGATCACCCAGGACGAGAAACATGGGGGCTTGACGGCGGTAAGGACGAGCAGGCAGGGGGCGCTGTTGCGCTCTCGTTGTCAGCCTTTGCTCCCTCTCTTGAAATTGTTTCTGCTGATCAGGGCAGCAAGTAAAGTCAATGCGTGATCTTCTTCAGGCATGCGATTTGTGTATTAATACTTTTTCGTATTTTTTTAACAGAATTACGTTGATTACATTTCAAGATTGTATGAACGCGAAATTAAAGATTTCTTTGAAGTTGCCAAGATTAAAATGGCGAGCACAACCAAAGAGGGGAAGAAATTCGGTAAGATTCTCATCGACACCTTGTTCTTTAATTGCTGCTTTTGAACACCTGTCTAGCACTTAGACAGGGGAGCACTTTCTGTCCGTTAATAGAAGTGTAGTTTTGCCAAGTTAAATTTGTGGTTATGTATGAGGAAAATCTCTGTGTACAGCAGGATATAATTTTATGTTGTTCTTTTTTTTAACCATTCCCTCAAGATAAAAGAGTACACATAAAAAAAACAAGGAATTAGCATGCTTTTTGTTATAAAAGCAAGTAAGCATCCTTTATTATGTTGCGATGGACTTTGAAACCATGAGCACTAAAATTGATGCTTAAAGGATTCTCTTAGTGTTTTTACAAGTGCCTGATCATGTTCTTGCTATTGTTGAGGATTGCCCAGAAAGTAATTAGAACAGTTATTTTCAATGTAGTAAAAACTTGTCGACCTTTGACATAGATTTTCTTTCCGATATGTAAGCAAAATAAGTTGTGGAATCGTTACTGCAGACATGCGAATCTGCTTGAAATGTACTCTTGCATCAAAAGGCTGATACTGAATGCTACCAGAACATCTCAAAGACCTTGTCAGGACATTTGTGCACTGTCAAACCAGAGTCCCCGAACCCTTTCCAGGGCCTGTCAGCTGTCTCCTTGGGTTCTGGGTTCACTTTACTGGATGAGTGTAAAGTCATCACTGTTTCACAGTAGATTTAGGGAAAATATTGTTTGGTGTTCTTACACAATTAAGTATTAAGTACAGTAGTTGAAAAGTATATGTTTATGTTCTAAGTAAATGTTACATAATCCACTAAAATGACCTGAAAATTGCATTCAAAAAGGGGTGGTTTCTGTAAAAAAACATTTTCTGTTATCTTTTCATTTTCTGAAGCATGCACTAAAGATCATCCACACGTGTTAATTGCGCTTTAAGACAGAATGCCCATTGTCTTCAAGCTCATTCTGTTTTTGTGATGCAGGCAGCATTATTTAAGACAACAGCAGGAACGATAGAACATTATCAATTATTTCAGACGTTTTTATGAGTCTGCGGTCATGCCTTGTGAAAAAAATAATGTCCTGTATGTTGGTTCTCCAGCCCTGGTCCTGCAGAGCCCCAGTCTGCTAGTCTTACAGGTGTTACACATGTTCTAAACATTTCAACACCTGCTAACTGTTCATGAACCAAGTTTACTAACCTATTCAGTTTAGAGAATTTCAGTTTAGAAATTTTTCTTTTGATCCCAAATTACTTTACTTCATTTAACAAATCAACTATTTAACAGATCATGATGGAGGAGTTTCCAGTATTTAGCAACTGGTGGCTTGAAGCCGCCCTGCAAAACCTGTGGGATTGAGACTCTCCAGAACCAGCTTTGGAGACCCCTGGTCTGCATCAAGCTTGTGTGCTATCTTCCTTCTGAAAACAGAAGGGCAGCATTTTAAGTGTTCGTTTTAAATCGCCTTGGCTGTGAGCACAGTTTTTCAGTTCATCGCAGCTCTGGTGCATGCCTGTTTTTTTTTTCCTGAACTAACTTCTAACGGGCCTCGTGCTGCATGGTTTGTGTGACACACATGTGCTAACTTGTCTCTGTCTTTGATGCCTGCATTCTAATCTGCCGCCCAGCCACGCTGCCTCGAAAAGAGAGTGCTGTCAAACAGGAGACGGAGAGTAAGTATCCCAGCACCCCTTTGTCCCCTCTGTGCCGCTGTCTCCTGCCTGAAAAGAAAAAGTGTGATGTGCTGTGCAGGATAGTGTTCCCTGCAGGATACTCAGAAGATGAGTCCTGCAGAGAACGGCTGCAGACATCCTGATTCCTAGTTTGGACCTTTCTGAAGTGCTGATCTTTTATTATGGTCTTTATGAAGTGCTTGAGAAGTTAACCCTACCCTTTTTTTTTCCTCTCATTACATTGGGGAAAAAAAGGACCGATGTCAACGGAAAAATTCTGCTGTGTTTGTCGCTGTGCAAGTTTCAATACGTTTACAGAACATTTCCATCTGCTCCTGCACTAAGTAGCTCTGTCCTCCTTTTCATCTAAGAAGGCAAATTAGAAAAAGTAATACGATATATAATATATGAAGCAATATCTTGCTTCTTGATTGTACATTAGATTTTGTCTCACCTTAAGTAAATCTATTATTAAGCTGAGGGATACCACAGCATACTGTACACCTGTTTATAGAAGAGAATTAAAAAAAAATATATATCAGGGAATTTAAAAGTGGTTTTGATATTGTCTAATTGATAATCAGATGGGTCTTTTGATGAATTGAAGGCTAAAACGCTATTACACTGTGCATGTAATCAGTAACGCCTTCTTATAATTTGATACAAGCAATAGTCTGACGTTCATGAAATGAACCTGAAAAGCAGCTAACTCTGAAGTGAGAAGCTGTGAAAGAAACTAGACATAAACCTAGAAGTCGGAAATGTTTGCATGATGTTTTTCCTCCGTCCTTGCGCTTTGACCTCGCTGGTTGTGTGAGACTGCGCCGCACTGCAGTGACGCGGCGCAGCCACACGCTGATGGCGGCTCTCTCTCCTGGGGTCGGCCGCAGGCCTCCACGGCAGCGCGGGGAAGCTGACCGGCTCCACCTCGAGCCTCAACAAGCTGACCGTCCAGGGCTCCGGCAGCCGCAGGTCCCAGTCCTCCTCCCTGCTGGACATGGGCAACATGTCGGCCTCCGACCTTGACGTGGCAGACAGGACGAAGTTCGACAAGGTGCGCCCAGCCCTGCTCTCCCAGTCAACCCGTTTTATTCCTATATTGCGCCTTTCGATACAGAGCATCCTCAAGGCTTTTCACATCAATTGCACAATAAAAACCAGATATGATGGAGAATGTTAAAAGAAACAAATGCCTTAAGATAGATGGATACTTTATTGATCCTGTGAGGGAAATTGCAGTGCAACAGCAGCCTAGCACAGTCAACACAGCACAGTGTAACGAAATGATACAATAATACAACAATACAATACATACACTACAGTCAGTAAAAGTAAAAAATGGATTATACAGAGTTGCTCACAGTCCAGGATATACAAAAACAGACCCGAAAGTACAGTACACAAAAAGTTGTATTGCACATTATAAATATATTGCACAAATCCCCAGCATACAGTATATTGCACAAAAAACAATTGTAAACAGGAAAAAAACAGATCTGAGCAGAGAGTTTTATGTTGAGTCCAAAAACGGGTCAATGTTGCCCGGTGCGTTGGCAATGTGATGATACCGGAGCCTCCAGTCCTCTCCACAGCATGTGAGAGCGCCCCAGTGTTGCCAGTGACTCTGTCACATACTGCTTATGTCAAAAGCAGCAAAGCCAAGCCAAGTTTTCTTCTTAGTTTTAAGTTAGAGATGGTGGGGTGGGTGATTTGTCCCCGTCAGAGACGCACCCTGCACACGCCCTGCACGCCACTTAACTCTTGTGAGTAGAGCCGAAGAAATGCTTTGAACCGCAGCCTCCGCGGGTCCTCCGCAGTGTCACTGACTGCCGCCTTTTCTCCTCAGATCTTTGAGCAGGTCCTGAGTGAGCTGGAGCCTCTCTGCCTGGCCGAGCAGGACTTCATTATTAAATTCTTCAAACTGCACCAGCAGCCCGCCCTGGCAGGGTCAGCTGTAAGTGTGGCTCACTGAGCCTTGGGGAGGGAACGTGACTTCAAGGTGTCTGCTCAGGCTTGGCAGCTGCGTCAGCAGGCGTAGGCTGCAAAGGCACAAGTTAAAGGTTTGTTCCAGGCTGAGAAGAGAAAAAAGAAACACAATGTTTTGGCCTTCTTCAGGTGTGTCAAGCATGCACTTCTTTGCACACACACCTGAAGAAGGCTCCATGTTTTTTCTTCTCTTTTCAGCCTGGAATAAACCTTTACCTGTTCCTTATTAACCTGAACACGACAGTGTCCTTGGTCTTATTCTAGATTTTTACAGTACACCTCCTAGGTTGTTTGTAATGCTTCTTCAATTCTGGTCTCCTTAATTAACCACTGCCTGGTCGTTTGCATACTGAGGTGTTGAAATGTGAGGCGCAGGCTGCAGGTGCAGAGGCATCGTTCTGTAGGGTGGGCGCTGGGCTCATCAGTCACGCCCTCTGTGCCGGGGTAGGGGTTCTGGAAACGGGAGCGAGCTCCGGGTCTCGTTGCGCGATGCTGAAGGAGGCCATGCGCCGTGTGCTTGTTTCCAGGGCGACGCCGTCGAGATGGACGGCTCCGCTCACTCCAGGTTTTCTTCCGCGGGGGGCGACAGGCAGCAGCCGGCGGCGTCTGAGTGAGTTGCCCTTCTTGCCCCCGCAGCGTGGCGCGGCGGCCCCCGGCGGCACTGATCTCCCCGGACGCTCTGGGGGGGGGGGGGGGGGGGCTCGTGGCTTCCGAAGTTTTAACAGCCCGGCAGTCGGTAATCCCAAGGGAACGGGAATCGATCTGGGATGCTGAGTAAGAATTTGGGGAAAAGTCTGTTTTATATTTTATTTCAATCACCCTGCAACCCACTGGAGCCCAGCAGTGTGAGCCTGGCCAGGACCTGGAGGGGAGACTCCTGGGAAAGCTGAGGCTGCTGCTGGAAGAGGTGTTAGAGCGGCCAACGGGGGGCGCTCACCCTGTGGTCTGTGTGGGTCCTAAGGCCCCAGTATAGTGAAGGGGACACTGTACTGTAAAGAGGTGCCGTTCTTCAGATGAGACGTAAAACCGAGGTCCTGGCTCTCTGTGGTCATTAAAAATCCCAGAGAGTTTCTCGAAAAGAGTAGGGGTGTAACCCCGGTGTCCTGGTCACATCCCCACCCCGGCCTCCTAATAACCCCCCTCTCTGAACTGGCTTCATCACTCTGCTCTCCTCCCCACTGAGAACTGGTGTGGGGGGAGTGTACTGGAGCATCATCCAGGTGGGGCTGCACATTGGGGGTGGTGGAGGGCATCCCCATTACCTGTAAAGAGCTTTAAATGGAGCGTCCAGATTATTATTCTGTTATTGGGTTTGAGACACCCGTGCGGTAGGAAACCAGCGCGCTGCAGCTGCTGTCTAGGGCAGGAAAGCGCTGGACTGAGGCCGCACTGTGTCCCTTCCAGGAAGGACTCGGTGCGATTCATGATGAACAGGATCTTCCTCTGCATCGAGGTGGAGCTGAACAACCTGATCGCTCTTGGGGACAAGATCGACAGCTTCAACTCCCTGTACATGCTGGTGAAGATGAGCCACCACGTGTGGACGGCGGAGAACGTGGACCCCGCCTCGTACCTGAGCACCACGCTCGGCAACGTCCTGGTGACCGTCAAGAGGAATTTCGACAAGTGCATTGTGAGGAGTGGCCCCCGGACTTTCTCCTCTTCATTTTGTCGTCCCGTGAACGATCGTTTCTCAGGGCTTTTATGAGATTCAGTTATATCTAATGACACTGAAAAATCATTAACAGAAAAGCTGAACCCGCCCGTGGAATGAAGGGTGGAGATAGTTCTATCTGATTTATTTACATCAGCAATTCAGCCCTTTAGTTTATCTTTAGATTTTTAAGTTTATGTAAGTGGAGATCACACTTCAGCTGCCTGGTTGCAGTTATTACAACTGGTTGACTGGATCTGTATTATAAAGTTATGAAATTCTATTGATTCTATTGATCTATTATGATATTCTATTATCACATAAGAGGCAGAAGTGTTGTAGCTCTCTAGACTAAAACTCGTTCCCTTTCTAATGTTTCTTATGTCTCAAAGTGTGACTGAAATTGTTTTCTGACAGCACAGAATTTTTTATAGCACTAAACAACTGCATTTTATCTGGCAGGCTGCTGTGTCTGTTAAATTAAAACTGTATGTAAGGAAAAGCTAGTACCCCAAAAGCACTTTTACGAAAATGTTATTTTCATATTCTGGTTTAGCGGGATTTCTGTCATTTTCTGCTCTGGGAGAATGACATGCTGAAAATTGAAACGGTTAAAAATTCCTAAAACAGTCATTTGTTTGGTACATTCTCTTGAATTTATATTCATTGAACCTCTTGAATTTTTCCCACAGACCCTAGCCCTAAATTAGCGAATAGTTAATTCTAGTAGGCAGCTGCGTCAGCAGGCGTAGGCTGCAAAGCAACAAGTACAGGTTTATTCCTGCTGAAAAGAGAAGGAAGGAATCACAACGTTTCGGCTGTGGAGCCTTCTTAGGGTGTCCAAATTTTTAATGTTTACTGACGTACTGGAAATGGGCTGTAACTCATCACAGCATTGGTGCCTAATCTTCGCTTAACCTGCAGTAGTATGTCAATTCATAGGTGTGCAAAACATGAAATTAAGAGTACATTTAGTCCTGTTTTAGGTGTAGAGTTTAAGGTCTTTATCCACGATGAGGGTTCCTTTAAAAACATTGACGTTGAGCGGCTTGGCTTGTGCCCACAGTCGAATCAGATCCGGCAGATGGAGGAAGTCAAGATCTCGAAGAAGAGCAAAGTCGGTATCCTGCCCTTCGTCACCGGGTTCGAGGAGTTCGCGGAGCTGGCGGAAACCATCTTCCGGAACGCCGAGCGCAGGGGAGACCTGGATAAAGCGTACACCAAGCTCATCAGAGCGGTCTACATGAATGGTAAGGGTTAATGTCCGCTCGTGTTTTAGGAAGAATGAAGCTGTTCCCGGGCGAGATTGTCGTTCTTGTGGAAAGTGAAACGGTCCCGTAGCCACAGTTTTTTTGCATCGCATCTGCCAGCTGTGACAAGTTCAGAAATCTCATCGTGACAGCTTGTGTACAATTAACACTCCTTGCCTGCTGGTTACAGACCCTGTCAGGATGCTTGCAGGGGTCATCACCTTGTGAAACGGTAGTGTTTGTTTCTATGCCTCATGAACGATGCTGTAGCGATGTGTTTTTTCCCCTCGTTGTGTTTCCAAAGTCGAGAAGGTGGCCAACGAGAGCCAGAAGACGCCCAGGGATGTCGTCATGATGGAGAATTTCCATCGGATCTTCTCCACGCTGTCGCGCCTCAAGATCTCCTGCCTGGAAGCAGAGAGGAAGGAAGCCAAACACAAGTATACGGATCACCTGCAGTCCTACGTCATTTACTCCCTGGGCCAGCCGCTGGAGAAACTGAACGTAGGTGTTGGTGAATGAATGACAGGAATCATGCGTTGAGCACTGTCACCTCTACATGCAGTACAGCAAGCCTGCAGTCACACACTGAGCACTGTCACCACTACAGGCAGTACAGCAAGGTTGCAGTCGCATACTGAGCACTGTCACCTCTACATGCAGTACAGCAAGCCTGCAGTCACACACTGAGCACTGTCACCTCTACAGGCAATACAGCAAGGTTGCAGTCACATACTGAGCACTGTCACCTCTGCATGCGGTACAGGTTTGGAAATTCTGATCCAGTGGGAAGAGCGTCACCTATTTGTCTGCCAACATCCATGCAGCACAAACCTAGTTTTCCTTAGGGGTCTCCCTTCCAAGGAGTGACCATGATCCACCTTGCTCAATTCCGAGATCTGACAAGAACTGCACAGTGTTAAGACTGTGTGCTCGTAAAGTCAGTAGAAGCTTTTATTGTCCCACAATACTCAGCCGTCCTCGAGCGAAGACGCGTAGCGGCTTTGTAGAGATGCCTTGCTCAGGTTGTGCTTGTGCTTCATTTCCAGCACTTTTTTGAGGGGATCGAGGCTCGGGTGGCCCAGGGGATCAGGGAGGAGGAGGTGAGCTACCAGCTGGCCTTCAACAAGCAGGAGCTGCGCAAGGTCATCAAGGAGTACCCTGGGAAGGAGGTGAAGAAGGGGCTGGACAACCTCTACAAGAAGGTGGACAAGCACCTCTGTGAGGAGGAGAACCTGCTGCAGGTGATTCAGGAGCCCGGACTCCAGCAGTGAAGACCTCTTTAGGGTCTGTCTTGTGGTGTCCGTCCCCGAGGCGGGAGCGCTCTGCATGTTGCGGGGGGTGGGTACGCTTTATCCGACTGCCACCGAAGTGTAGAGCTCATCGTGCACCCACAGACCACTCGCATCGGTGCAGGCGGAGCTGAGAAGTGAGAAACGGGCCCGCACTTTAGGATTAAGGGGGCAGTTTCAGGGTGGCCAGATTGAGCACAGAATGGAATTACTCGGTGGTGCTCAAGACACCAGAGTTACCGCCCTGCCTTTACAGATGCAGCCCTGGGATCTTTAGCTACCACAACAGGGTCAGGACTTCGGTTCAATGCCTTATTAATTGGCACAAACCTCTAGAGTCGTTTACAGTAATGGATATTATTTACAGACGCCTCTGTCTGTGTGCCGCTGCTGTCACTGATGCGATGTTGTGATTGTTTGCTGGGTGGGGACACCGGCAGCAGCAGCAGTGCTGGGATAGCCCACAATCTGCACTGACCACAAAGCGGCGTCTCTGCGCTCGCTCGCCGGCCGCTGGCTGTGTCACGGTCACGGGCGGCCCTCCCGCCTGTCACACTGGCTCTCCCCCGTCGCCGGCTGATCGTAACTCGGCTCCTTGTCTCTCTCTCTCTCTCCCCCGAGGTCGTGTGGCACTCCATGCAGGACGAGTTCATCCGCCAGTACAAGCACTTTGTCGGTCTGATCGGCCGCTGCTACCCTGGCGCGGGGATCACAATGGACTTCACCATCCAGGACATCCTGGAGTACTTCTCCAGCATCGCGCAGTCTCACTGAGCCCGGCCCGGCCGGCGTCAGACACTCCTTCAGCGACGCGGAGGCTGTATCCTTGTACTCCGCAGCTGAGGGAGGCGCAGGAGAAAAACCCGTGCCTGGAGAACAGAAACCGGAGACAGGCACTTAATATAGAAGCAGCGATTGCCACGTGATCTTGGTTTCCTTTAGGTTATTTTGCATTTCAACGCTGGTTATGACTTTAAGGATGTTTTTTGTGTGTGTGCGTGCTCCTCCTGAGAAGTAAGTAACGCGTTTGGAGTTGGGTGAAGTAAAATGCTCCCGCTGTTAAGATTGAAAAATGGGACCCTACCGACAGCCTGTCAAGTTAAGCATGATTGTGGGTTCGTCTGAAGCATTACATTTGCCCCAGATGTTGAGTTTGAGTTTGTTACGAACACTATCAATACACTATTAATGTATCTTTCTGTTAACCACTAATCTTTACAGACTGAGGAATGAAAAATCGTTCAGGTCTCTCTGAAAGCATTAAGAAACACATTGATAGATGATAGATGTCAATGTTTTACTACAGTAAAAATGAGATTCCTGAAAGGTTACAAAATCAAATCTTCTATATTAAGCAGAATTAGAGAGTAGTTAAACTGTGGATACAGAATCATTTGGACAGAGTAGCACCTAAATTTTGTTTAAGAGATTACTGATCCATTTTTGGTTTTATTGTGCTCAAGAAGATACACTTTGTATCTATGCCTGGGCTGTTGAACCTGTAGAATTTTTTTTTTAAATATGTTCCCACCATATGTAGTAATATATTTTTAAATGCAAAGAAAATTGTCACCCAATCATGTTTTCTAAGAACCTTCACTATCTTTGGAGGGTATTCTCTAACACGGACATTAATCAAGGAAAATAATACTCAGATATTACACCCTGACCACAGATCTTGGGTCTCTGGTGCTCATAATCACTGTGAGGGTGAAACAAGCACTCTGAACCTACTGTTTCTCTAATATTTATTTTTTTTAATTTGGTGCATCTATTTCATAACACACTACCACAGCAATTTTCAGCAGAGCTCTTTTGTATGTGAAAGTAACACATATTGAATAAATCGTGTCTACTGCTTGGTGTTTTGTGGTTTTCTTTCATACTTAATTATGGTTTATGTACCATATTTGCGTCAGCCAGTTACATAATACTAAAGTCTCGTTTAATCATGTTTCTTACTAAATGCAATTTTCCTGAGGTGCATTTTAGGGTTCTGTTTAAAATCAAAGCCCCCAAAATTATTGTATAATAACAACAACATGCACTTTTGTTGCCTCTGAGAATTGTGAGTGCATTGTAGTTTGATGCGATGGCAGCCAGAGTGCGCCATTCTGCTCCCCACACTCCCCAGCTCTCAGTGGGGAGGAGAACAGAGTTTACTACTTTCAGGCAGTTACTGCACATGCAAATATCATGCGTCAGAATTGGCCCCATCTCAATCATTGGTAAGTGATTCAGTGGGGTGGTAGGACACCTGTGCACAGTCCTTCACTGTCAGTCACAATCATAACTGCCACCACTCCTCTGAACAGCCGAGAAATGAGAAATTGCGTCGCCAGTCGAATTATCCCCTAGCTCCAGAGCAGGGATTCACCATTAACCATTCAGGCAGGGTCGTGACTGCCCTCGGCGTGGTGAAGGTTTTTTTTTCCACAGCAACGGCAAAGCCAGCCGCTAGGGGGCGTTCTCTCCCGTCTACCGCCGCCACCGGTATGCGTCATTTTCCTGAGACACGTTTCCATGGAGAAGCGGAAGCGGGGTCCTTCCAGGCAGCTGTCTCCTCCGGCGCCATTTTCAAATCCGGTAGCTTTACCGCCGAGAGAGCTGTCTGGCGCCGCCGGAGGAACAGGAAACCAAGGGGGGAGGAGGAGGAGAAAGGAGAGTAAACGACTCTTTAAATAAAATGACAAGACCCACCTGACAGCAGCATTTGGAGGATATTTTACGTTATTTACCATAAACGGAATCGGCGGGGAGTCTTCCTTAAAATCGGCGCCCCAATATTGTGGTTGGGGATTGATGGGATTTGAAACCAAAACTGCGATGCAGGAGATCTGATTCGTAAGTGCAGTGTGTTGTGTACGCTACTGTGCCACCCGTGTAGCTGCGAGTTTTCCTCAGCTTGAACTCCTCATCATCCCTGGAGTGTCATTGGTAGCTAAAATAACATACTTCTCTTTTTCTGTACACCAGAAGCTATCCCGAGAGATAAAGTCGAGTCACATCTTTTATTTCACGGGTTGGACGTTTCAGACGGGAACTCCTTTAATTATAATATATATATATAAGAAAACAGTACTCTGCTTCTCGCCAGTGCGGACTCCGGCCCCGGGAAAGTCTCGTCGCCATGAGCACCACCGCGGAGAGAAAGTTCATCAGTCTCAGGAAGCGGCTGGATCAGCTGGGATACAGGCAGCCGCTGGGGATCGAGTCCTTGCCTCTGGTGGAGAAGCTCTTCAGGTATTCGGGTCGCTCCTCCGGCTCACACCGGCGACCGAGCCCCTTCGCCCAAAAAAGTGAAGCACTTTACACCGTCTGAATATGTCTCCAGGGTGCTCCTGTGTTTCCTGCCTCTCTTGTTACAGTTTAGTTGTGTGGGGGCATCTAACCTCCCCCGCTGTGGCCGGCTCGGGCGGGTAAAGAAAGATGCAACAACGGGCTCACTTGGACATTATCGGTGTGGTCCGGTAGCCTGCGCATTGAGAGTAAAGGGAACCGGGTCTGAAATGTTAACATGGCCAATGAAATTATTGGACGACTACAAAAGCAGTTTAAAGAGCTGTATTGTATTGGGCTACAAGAGAAAGCTCAGCTTATCGTTGGCGACTCCTCCCGCCCTCTTCATTCCTTCAGGGAGACAGTCCAGAAAGCCTGTGGCCAAGAGACATGTCTACAAGAAATCTGTCGTTCCCTCTGCAGTCGGTATATTAAACGCAGTTAAGTGGCTGTTTCCTGTATGGGGCTCTCCGATTGCGTGTAGCGGTGGTGTAACATAGGCAGAGAGAGAGGTGTGTATGTGTATCATGCATGGTTGGAACTATTACTTGTTTTTAATGTGTATTTTTTTATGTTGTGTGTTATTCGTTTGTTTTTTTGGTTTGGTATGGTGATGCAGGAGACACATTTCCACCCTTTTGGATGGACAATAAAGTCGTGTCTTATATTTTTTCCTATCTTATTGCGACCTCACCAGTCAGGTTAGCACCCTCTGTATCGCCTAAAAGTAGAAAATGTAAGCAAAATTGTGGATAATTTCTTTTTTTAATCATGAATTATGGATCGGCCATAGACTGGAGCCTTTTTAAGTGCTTTCTACCCTTGACGCTGGCGGTTGGAGGGTTTGGTTTCTCAATCTCGACAACATCTGACCCTTGAGCTAATGCAGTGGGAGGTCTGGTTAAAGGAATGGAATGGGAGCCCCCAGTTGATAGGAGATGAGGGAACATGCACATTGCTAGTCCTCACCTTTGCTGGAACATTGTTCCTGTACCTTGAGTCTTGCGCAGAAGAAGTGCATTTATACATCTGTGGTTTCTTATCTGACTTGCCCTGCACCACGTGAAATATTCCTCTTTCATGTTGGAATGGGTTTTCTGCACAAGCACACTCCTAATTGACTGCCGGTTATTTTGGTGGGAGTGTCTGCTGTTGGTGAGTCTGGTGTTGTAGGTCATGTCACCACAATGGAAGTGCCTAGAGGCTGGTGCAGCTGGACTTCCTCTGTCCCTTGCACATGTGTTGGGTTCTTCGCTCTCTGCCTGCGCAGTGTTTCAGGCGAGAGTGGGGTTAGTACCGGCACGTTGTCTGGCTCTGTTGCAGTGACCTGGTGCACACCACAGAAAGCCTGCGCAATGCCAAGCTCTCGGCTGGGAAAACCGAGAAGGAGAGCAAGAATCTGGACGCCTTGCTGGAACCCTACAGGACGGAAAACGCGCGTCTAGTGAGGGAGAACAATGAGCTGCACCTGGGGCTTCTGAAGCTGCAGGAGGAGAAGGACCAGCAGAGCAAAGGTGAGTGTCGTGCGCTGCAAGGCGATGCGCTAGAAAAACAGACACTGCGATTTGTAGGTCTGCTGGATCTTCTTTGCGAGCTAAGAATGACATCACGCCTTAGTATTTTTTATTATTCTAACTGTGGAACTTCGGCCTTCGTGACTCTACAGGGATGGAAATGCTTTATAACTAATTTTGTTTTGGCTGTTTTTTTCCCCTCTTGGACCCTTATGCACTGTCCACTGACCCCTTCTATTCCACCAGCACCTTTTTTAAACTCCTCCCTTCTGAGTGGAGGTTTCAAAGCCTCAAATGAGGTCCTGCTTGGTTCTGAAAAAGCACCGATCTAGAAGCTGTTAGGCAACTCAGCATGTCCTATCTGTAATTGTAATCTGTGTTAGTTTTTTTTTATTTTTTGCGGAGGGTTGAGGTTGAGGGCGTTTTTTTTTTTTTCTTACGGAATACATCCTTTAATCGGGGGTCTTCCTCCTGCTGCTTTTCAGACCTGAAAGCTGCGGTGAGGAAGCTAGAGCACGAGGTGACGGATCTGAGGTTCTTGAACAACCAGTATGTCCACAAAGTGCGGTCCCTGGAGAAGGACGGCAAGGCCAAGACGGAGCGCATCCAGCAGCTGCAGGAGAAGAACCTGCAGGCCGTGGTGCAGACGCCAGGTGCGATCCGCCTCGACGCCACCGAGCCGCGCTCAGAGCGCTTTCTGCAGTTTAACCTCAGTTGTTTTTCATAACAAATCCAATGTGCTGGAGCACAGAGCCAAAACCACAAAAAATCCCTGTCAAAATACTAACAGACTTCACTATATGATTAAAAAATATTGTGAAGTATTTTATGCATATTAAGTTCATCGTAGACTATGACCCTGACCTGGCAGCTGTCAAACAGAAACAAAAGCACAAGCTCAATGTTTTGTTTTTTTTTACCGTTGTGATTAACTGTTTTGATTAGATTGGTTGTGTCTGTCATAAACGTCATCAGGTCGCATTCTGAGAGGTGGCTTGGACCCTTTTAGCAAGAGCGGGTGTGTTTTACCTCCAAATGAGAGGCTTGTTATTACAATTATAAATCATTTAAGACAGCATGCAAATCTCTGGACAATGACTGAATCGGGGGAAAGATTTGTGGATTTTGACAGGTAAGCAAAGGAATTTAGTAATACATATTATTGACATTATTATATGCCCTAAGATGAAACGTAAATCGCCCAGGAGTTTTCAAGACCGGTCTTCTATTACTCTACCATTTTTGCTGAAGGTTCATGTTCCGTTAATCCAAGCTTTCTTGGCAGGTGGTAAGAAAAGGACCATTCCTTTCCGACGGCAGCGGATGCAGATAGATGAGCTCGTTCCCCCCTCCTCAGTCCACGCGCCGCCCGTCTCTCAGCCCCACGACCCGTATATCGCCGACCTCCTGCAGGTGGCTGACGACAGGTGTGCAGCCTTGGCATCTCTGATGAGGCCTTGTGGGTGGTGTTTGTTTTCCAGGCATGAACGTTGTGCCACCTTTTCGCCAGGGATCTAGGCTTCTACCGCTGACCCTCCCTTAAAGAGCTTGAAACTGTTCTGTCTTGTTAATCATTGATGCTGAACATTAGTAGGTGCTGCTTTGATTAAATAACAGCTCCTTTTGGGAAGTAAGTTAGGTCTGAGACATGGCATTGTATAATTCTCTAAATATACGCCTGGGATGTTCTAATTGAATGTTAATAAAAGCCTGTTGTGTTCAAGAACAGACTCCAGGCTAGCCAGTCTACCATCAAGGGATGCTTTATGTAGAGACCACTGAGTAGGATTTTATTGACTCCTGACCTCCTGAAAGTATGGGATTTTAATTTGTAATGAGGTGCCTTCAGCTGTGTAATCATCTGCTGAGCTTTCCTAAACTTAGGTGTTTTTGCTAGTAAATAACCAACATGCTGGTGTTGTCAATAAGCAATGGGGAAAGCCTAATAAAAGCCTAAACACAAAGGAAGAAAGACACAATCTTAGTGACCTGAGATTGACAGGAAATGCCAGCTTTGTGAGGAAACTTCAGAGTCACAGGATGCACTCACTCCCCCCTCCTCTTTAATATCTCTTGTGAACTGGCTTTAGAATTCAGGAGCTTCAGCAGGAGGTGGCCAAACTTGGGCAGGAGCTGGAGAGAGCAGAGGGAGGAATAAGGCACCTAAACAAACAGGTGGGTGAGAAGCAGTGGTCTCCGGACGGCACTGTCGTGGTCATGCGGAGGATCAGAGATGTGCTGGTGCTGATTGCCACTCGCTCTTGTAGGGATACAGGGTGTTGTACTTCTATGTCTCCACAAGGGGGCTCTGTCATCACGCACACCATTTGTTAGCCAGAATAGAATACCATATTGTCATTATTAGCGAAAAGAACTGATGCTGGAGGCACCATGGCTTGACGTGTTGAAAAATAACATGATAAAAAAAACAAGAGTCTGGATTGTTTCATTGGTCATCCTCGCAGCGTGGGGCCTGTGGGGCCGTTGACAGCCTGTGTGATTCTAGGTTGAAGAGCGAGACAGAGAGATTGAGCGTCTTGGCCGAGCGCTGCATGGTGGGCGTCCTCACGATGTCGTCTCCCTGGAGGCACAGAGCCGAAGCAATGAGAAGCTCATTGCTCACCTCAATTTACAGGTACGGTGCCACGGGCAGGTTCTTGGCACCTCAGGGTGATCCGGTGTCATTTAGGACTCTAGTTGCTTGAGTCTTGAATATGCACATTGTGCCGTTCCCCATTTGCTTTTTTCTCTGATGATCAGAATGCAGTGGCTGCTAAAAATACTTCTTACCTACTAACATTGGTAAGAGCAGAGACAGGCAGGAGAGGAGCTGCTGTGCTCACACCCTCAGACTCCTGTTTGAGAACATCAGGTTTGAGATTAAAGACTTAATTTGTGTTTGGTTAAAATATACCAAAAGCCCCTTCAGCCATTGTGTTATTGATTTTGTTGGTTGAATCTGTAATAATCTGCTGCTGTGGTAGAATTACAGCAGCGCATCTGTGAGAAATAAGGTGAACCGACTCGCTGGACTCGATGGCTGAGAGAACCAGGGGCTGAGCAGGCAGTAAAAGCACAACTAAACACAACCTGAGTTTGTGGCTGAGCAGGCGAGTGTCAAAGCTGGTGAATCCAAAACAAAGCGCAGTTCAAAGCACAAGGGAAAATTCAGAAGCGTGGTCAGACCGAGGAAAGGGTCAGGACCAGGGAAGCATGGTAGCAAAGCATGGGGGAATTCTGAGGCTCGTGTTGCAAACGGGAAATGCAAACAGGGTATGAAGCTGGGAGGAACACAGCTCCTTGGCACAGAAGGGCCATTCCAGGAGAACGTGGTCAGGAATCAGAACAAGGCACAATTAGGAAACAAAGATCAAGTCTCAGTAACAGATGCAAGCAATGTCAGAGCAACACTTGAATATCCTGACCCACTGGTGATCCAGGTCTCCTATCAAATTGGTGTCTATGGCAACAGGAGTTGAGTGACAGGTTGGTGGAGCAGTGACCAGCTGCCAGGTCAGTGCTACTGTAGCTCGCAACACAGACCACAGGGGCAAACATGACTGAATCATGTTACTCTATGATTGTTTGTCACATTGTGAGCTGTAAGTGCAGTTTTTCTCATGCTTCAGATTGAGTACCTCCAGCAAGCGAATCGGGACCTGGAGAGGCGAGTACAGGGGCTGCAGGAGAGGAAACAGAACGCTGCCAGTGAAGTTGCTGATTTAAGCGCCAGAAATGAAGAGCTGTGCCAGGAACTCACAGAGATCGATCAGCTGGCACACCAGCTGGAAAGAGACAAAGAACTGGTGCTGGAGACGGCTGATAAGGAGCTTCAGGAAGCCAAGGTACAGAGAGAGGAACCAGTGACAAAAGCCGAGTATCGGCAGGGAAGAAAATTGAGGGCAGCAAAAGTTATTTCAGAAAACAGTGATGGGTTCAAATTATAATGGACATTTCAGTTTTGTTTATTTAATTAATTGGAGAGATAGTGGTTCGTAACATGCTTACGTTTTTACCCTGTAAGTCATTATGACGAGTTTATCGAAATTTCTGAAACTTAGCTCTTCTGTTGTGCTTTCAGAAAGAGATCCAGAGGCAGCACAGAGAAATAGAAGACTTTGAAGATGCGATTGCAAAGCTGAAAGCGGTGCGTTCTGGTAGCCTGTACTAGTTTGAGAAATTTCGGTGAGGGTTGTGAGTTGTTGATAAGAATCAATAACGCTGCTGTATTTGGATGCAGTGGTCCAGGGAGGGAACACCCTTACACTGCCTGGATTGTGCTCCGTGACTCCTGAAATGTCTCTTGAGACTAGTGCGTTATCTACAATAACCTTCAGGTGCCTTTTAGATTTAGATTTTAGGAAAATCTTTCTGAACGACTCCTTGGGTTGTTCTGTGATTAATTAATGTGTTTCACACGTGTGTAGGAGCTGGCAGATTGCCATCATGACAACGAGAAGCTGCGAGATGATCTCCTGGAAAACAAGGAGCAGTGCGCGAAGTTGGAGGGCCTTTCAAACTTCATGGAAGAGGAGAAACAGAGGCTTCAGGAGAAAATCGAAAAAATGACTGAAACTGGTGAGGGAGAGTTTTGAATACGGCATTGCTTTTCTCTCTCAAACCAGCTTGCTGAAATTGTTCCGTTCTCGAGAACAAAACTAGACTAACGAGATATCCTTTGCAGTCCCATGTTTCTTGAATTGGCACCACCTAGGTAGTTATAAATCTGTATCACCACTGTCGTGTATTCTACTCGCCATCTATAGTTTTTAAACTCTGCACTAAACTCAGTA